CGTCGGGCTTGAAGGAGGGAGGGAGGGCGGGCACCGAGGGAGGGAAAGGGGAGGGGAAAGGGTTATGTGGTCTGGCAAGAAAGTGGGGGAGGGAAGGGGCTCGGCGAGGAGGCAGAATATGAAACACAGATATCATATATGGAGAGTCTGGGTAAGGATAGCGAAGCTTGGAGAAAAAGAGCAGTAGGGGCATGGTGAGGAGGCGAAAGGGAGAGATGGAGCAGGGAGGGCATGGGAAGAGGAAAAGGACGTCTACAGGGAATCTTCATCGTCCCACAGACTCACTTTGGTGTCCTTGCCGCTTTTGTTTACTCCCTCGGGCGCTGCAAACGGCCCCATGCCGTCTTTAAACGCCCGTTCCGTCGCGACCAGGCCCTCTCGCTCCCGCTCCAGGGCCATGGGAAGGGTCAGAATCTCTTCCAAGCACACCCGCAAGGCCTGAAAACCAGCCGAGCGGGACAACACGGTAGCGTCGAGGTGGCTCGGTGAGGAAGACTCTGGCATCGAGGAAGGGGAAACGTATCGCACCGAATGATCCCTCCATCCCTCCGCCTCCGGCCTACGGCTGGGCTTCTGCTTCTGTCGCATGACATGGAGCAAGGATAAGGAGGCCCCAAGCGCTTTTTGCACGCAAATTGCTTCTTCCTCTTCCTCGATTTCCACTGCGATTTGCGCTGTGCCCCGACGGCTTGGCACCACTTCCATAGGAGGCAGAAAGGGGCCGACTAGACACTTGAAAAGGTTCGCGGAGTGTACGACTGAGAAATTCGAATTTTGTGGGCCAGCTAAACACACAATCATTGCCTATCACACAATCAGGTCGCGAGCACAATTTTGGCATGATGCCTGTTTAACAGATGAGGACATCCCGAAAATAGGATGACTTGAACGTTGTAGGCTGTGCAGGCATCAAAAATGGTCAAAGAAACCCAGGATTTCGGGCCACCAGGAGGAAGAACGATGCGACCGCAGGTGTTGGCGAGCCACGCAAAGCCAGCTTGTGGCATAAACGATGATCTCAACCCCGTCTTGGACCGTGTAAGTGAAACGCGCCTTACAGAGTTACCAAGTGGTCACATGCATGTGGGGAGGGATTTTACAAGGAGATTACAGGCATGATTAAGTCACAAAGCGCGTACGCACCACGGACACATGTGCCGATCTTGTACCGGGGCAGCGGGGGGGTAAAGCGAAGTATTGCCTTCCTTTTCATGCCTTTTTATGCCCGCGGTTTTTTTACCGCCAAGTACACACACGCCAAAGTACATTCCATTAAACGTACTGCCTCGATGGCATGTTTTGGTTGCGGACAGTGGAAGTGCATTTTTAGCACGCCGCACCTACTCTTAACGGCCCTCCTCTCGTGTCGCCGATGGACTTGGGCCATAAGTTCTACACGCCTGTCAAAGAGAAATCCATCTGATTGGATATATGAGGAGAAAGGTTACCCTGAGTCCTGCAAAGATACCTTATATGCTTAAAAGATTGTATTCAGGGTCAGAACAGGGGGAGGGCCTTCACGTGTGTCTATCGACAAGCACACTTGGGGCTGAGCACACTTGATTGTAGCAAAAGAAATACCTTCACCAAGTTCTCCACTTGTCAGCATTGAGCTGCGGTATTTGCCCAGTGACTTCCCTCGCTCCGCGGGCTTTTTCAGTTTCTTTCCGCCATTATCCCATCTCAAGTCCTTCGCATCGCCTGTCTTTTCACTGAGGCCTCTGCCACTGTCTCCTCCCTAAGATCTCCCCTCCTCCCGTTTCCGCTCTTCTTCTCAAGATTTTTATGTTCCCCTTACACCCTGTCTCTCCTTCAAAAATCCTCGTCAGCTTGGTTGAACTTAATACTCTTTACCCTCCGGGATTTTCCCGTGAATAAATTTGGAGGGGCCCTGAAAGTAACGTGAGGGGAAACAAAGAATAATTTTGGTAAGGGTCATGAGTCGATACGACGCTGCTGTCGCCCCTCCGAGTTCAACGAGCCCCGATGGCCTCCCTCAACCGAGATAGTATCACCACTTTTCAACCGCACCCATGTTAAAACCTCCTGGAACTGTCCCAGGCTCATTACCCCACTTCTGCCCCGAAAAAAACCCACAAAACCCGAATTCTCCCCGCGTCCCTGCTCCCGTACCTGCAGCCCAAGGAGGACCTGAACGCCCAGGTAGGTAACTGCGAACATAAAGGCAACTTGGAAAGGGAGGGATGGAGGGGATGAGGAGGGAGGAAAGGGTCAGGGCACGGTCCTTCGCCACGCGTCTCGTCGGAGGGTGCCACGAGCTGTCTTCCTTCTTCCACAGCCGGTCACCCGCTGACATCCTCTGCCGCGTCCATCCTCCCTCTCCCCCTCCCTCCCTCCCTCCCTCCCTCCCTCA